ACAACACACACTACATTTATTGGGGCCAGCAGGTGACATAGTGGTTAAGGTGCTAGATTCCCATATGACTGACTGTGGTTCGAGACCCAGACCTGGACATTTGAAACTCATGCCAGGCAGGTGTGTGTGTGCATGTCCAAAATCCCAGGAGAGAATGGAGGAGAAGAAATTGTGGTGTGTCCATAGCCTGATGGATGATTTCTTTTCTTTTTTTTCCTATTTTTTCTCTTTCTGTCTCTCTGGCAAGAGCATGTGTCCTGTAGAAAAATCCCTTGAAAAAAGTTTGCTGCCATATGTGGGCATGGTTTATGGCATCCCAAAATAATTACAAGAGTAACATCAAAGAACACTCATTACAGTTCACCATAACAGATATAATGATAATGAGAAAAAACTGTAATATCGTGAGGACTAACAAAATGTGTCATAGAGAATAAAGTGGGCACACGGTATTAGAAAAATGGTGCAGATGGATTTGCTTAATGCAGTATTGCCACAAACTTTCCATTTGTGAAAAATGCACTATCTGCAAAACCCAGTAAAACTAAGCATAATAAAATGTGGTGCACCTGTATTTGCAAACATTACTTAGAGAGAATTGTATCTAGATTTGTAAAAACTCCATAAAAAAACTGGACAAAAGAGGTGAACAAACATTTCATATAAGAACCATAAACCCAAAGGGAAATGTAATTTAGGTTCATAATGTCATATTATTTTACAGCCATGCGATGGTAAAGAATAAAAGCTAGACAATTCCAAGCATTGTTAGGAAGAGAAATTCATATACACAGCTTAAAGGAGTTTAAATTGATCAATTTACTGTTATCTTGTAAGGTCGAGCATTCACTTACCCTAATGTGCTAATTTTACCACAGGTGTATATCCTGGAGAAACTCCTACACATGCTGATGAATACAAGACCTTTCATAGTAGAACATTTTTTTTTTTTTTGGAGAGGTTTTTGCTAAAGGGGGTGTGCGCTTGCCAGAAAGACAGAGAGGCAGAGAGAGAGAAAGCGAGAAATCACCCCCAGGGGGGATGGCCACGCTGCAATCCCTTCTCCTTCATTCTCCTCTCGGGATCTTGGACACGCACGCACAAGTGCCCAGCGTGAGTTTAAGCCACTGGGTCTGGGACGCGAACCGCAGTCGACTACATGAGAGTCCAACGACATAGCAATTATGCTAACTGCTGGTCACTCATAGTAGAACATTTCATAGAAATAAAAGCAACAACAAACTAGGAAAATAATCTCAATGACGATTGACAGAATAATATTTCAAAATGCAAACATCAGACTATTACAGAACTTTTAAAATGAATGATCTATTGCTGTGTAAATCAATATGCATGAACATTAAATATTGCATGAGAAAAGCAAAGTTAGGATGGTGGTTATCTGGGAGAAGGACATAGCGAAATGGAATGGAGGAAGAAGCATACAGAGACATATAACGTAAGATTCTAATGTAGTCCTTGTTATGGGTCAAAATATGTCCTTCACCAAAAAGATATGTTGAGAACCTAGTTTCTGAAAGCATTTTCTTTTAGAGAGTGAGAGATATTTTTGCTACAGAGCCAGCCAGACAGAGAGAGACAGAGAAACAGAAAGCAAGAAATCACCCCCCAAGAGGGATGGCCATGCTTCAGTCCCTTCTCCTTCATTCTCCTCTTGGGATTTTGGGCACACATGCACATGTGCCTGTTGTAAGTTTTAAGCTGTCAGGTCCCAGAATTGAACCATGGTAGACTACATGGGAGTCCAGCAACATAACTATTACACCATCTGCTGGTAACCATGTATTACTTTTTTAATGTATTTTAAATAGTTACATAATAAATAAAAAGACAAAAGTAGTTACTATTTTTACTACCAAACTAAGGTATGTTTCCACTACCAATTTTGATAGCAAAGCTTCCAACAAATCTTTCTAAACCATTTTATTAAGAGTATAAAAATCAACCTTCAGGGCTAGCACATGGCCTAGCAGTTATGTCACTGGACTCCCACATGGCCAACCATGGTTCAAGTCCCAGACCTGGTGGGTTGAAAATCACGCTGGGCTGGGCATGTGTATGTGGATGCCCAAGATCCTGGGAGGAGAATGAAGGAGAAAGGATTGCAATGTGGTCATCCTCCATGTGTGAGATTTTTCACTTTCTCACTGTCTCTGTCTCTCTTTCTCTTGGGTGAGAGCACACACTCTAAGGCAAAAACCACTAAAGAGAAAAAAAAAAATCAAATTTCAACACTTCCCTTGATTTTTATGGAGTTTTAGTTTCAACTTCAGTGTCACTGAGTCCCGATTTCTCCAACTTATAATGGTGCCCATCTTCTGCGAAAAGTGGTCTGCCTCTATCCTGGATGAAGGTGATTGTCAATCACATACTTGCGGTATGTTATCTTCTTATAGACAGGCTGATATCTAAGCTTTGCTTTCATTTAACACAAAGATATTCTGGGCCATCTAAAACCAAGGCAGTGTTTTGGGCATGTGTGCCTCAAAAATAAGTACATTGTCCTGTCCAGAAGCCACATTAAAGCCAGGACTTGCATGTGTTGTTCACCCGACTGTATCTTTGCCTACTAGAAATAGTGCCCATTGCAGAATAGGCACTCAGTGAATTTGTTGAATAAATGCATAAATGAATGTTTTATTATGTCTACTTTTCTTATTTTTCTGCTATAGGGTGTATGTGCTTGTCAAAGAGAGACAGGGAGAAAGAGGGAAAGTAAAAATTCACTCCCTCCAGGGGGCATGGCCATGCTGCAATGCCCTGTCCTTCATTCTCTTCTTGGGATTTGGGTCACTCATGCACATGTGCCCAGTATGTTTTTCATTCTGCCAGCTTCAGACTTGGACTGTGAGGTCAGGCACATGGGATCCAACTGCCTTAACAACAGTGCCACAGGTTGAACCATGTCTACTATTTAGAAATAACAGTATAAACTGTACTGCTCTTCAGGGTTTATCAGCCATTTCTGATCCGCACTATTTTGTGGTCTGTCATTTTCTTTCACCTATTGATTCACCAGATCTTCTTCCTTTTATAGTAAGAACTTGTTCAAGTGCTTTTGAGGACTTTGAATAAGGGGTCAGATTTGGGTTGCATGAGGCCAGACATATATATACTTTGTTTTCTTTAGAAGGTACGAAGCTAGTTGCTTATTCTTCCTTATAGATTAGCAGCTTGCTCTACTACTGCTAATAATGTATTCTCTTTATCTTAAGAAGAGATGTAAGTATTTTAGACTCTTTTATTAATACTTCGATGAAATATATCTTGAAGGAATGTCAATTATGCATGCAAAGTAGATTTTTGAAAGAAATTATTTCATTTTATTTATTATTATTATCGTCATTATTATTTTCCAGTTTGATCAGAGAGAAACATAGAGTGAGAGAGAAAGTGAGAAAGTAAGCCACCAGGGCTGGGACCCAAACCATGGTTGGCCATGTGGGAGTCCATGCCACCTGCTGGTCCTGGTAAGTATATTTTAGAAATGAAATTTATTTAGTACTTTGGGAAAATCAGTATTGTTTTGACTACATTACATAATGAATATTATAATTTGACATAACATTCATCTTTTACTCAGTAGTTAGATTGGCTGATGTAAGTTAGGTGCTCCTGTGAAGCCATGAGATCCTTAACTATAATACCAGAAATGTTGACTATAGCATTTATGAATTTAAACAATATTTGGTGAGTAGCCAGGCATAAACTAGGTGAAGATGAAGAGATGAAGAAGAGCCTCTGTAGACTTTCACTATAGTACGAAAGAAGTAAACTCATAATTGCAATGTAATGTGATTAAGTACTGTCAGCCACTGAAGGAAAAAATAGTGCTCTATGTCACATTTTCAGTGTGGCTTATTACATAGTTGTTCTTTGGATACTAGCTGGTAGGTAAAATATTTCTCTACTACCCAGAATACCAAAGTGTCCAATTCCCTGACCATATCTGAGTAACAGTTTATTTTACAAGCTAGGATCATATCATTAAAAACTATCACAGGAGAACACAGCAATGATTCATTTCCATAGTTAATGGCTAATTTATTCTATCTCAGTTTTACATTTTATAATCCATTCCAATTTTGAGGAGTTTAGAGGCCCCTTCTGATTTTAAAATGGAGAAAAGTGGTTTATTTTCATGTGGCATTGCATTTTCACACAGATGGTGTCAACAATTTACTAAAACGGGAAGAATGGAAGTCAGTATTAGATTCACATAGTGTTCGGAAGAAATGAGACACAGTAAGTGTGGATCAAGTAATATTAGCAAAAATCAATTATATTACAAAAGCAGTTAAAATCATAACTCCTAATGAAAGTGGATATTTCTTTACAAAATGATCCCCATGGAATTTCTTAGATGCATAGCTCTATGGCTAGAAATTTTTTCAACAGTGCACTATGATAATCACTTAAGTGTTACTAATCACTTATCTGCAGGTAATCTTCAAGAATGCATCTCACCCCATCCCGGCTCACTCGCATTCTTTAGAAAGTTGGACTTAGTCCAGTCCTGTGTGTGATGGCAAACCCTAAGGCTGTGTTTCCTTTTACAACCTCCGGCTTGAATGCCAGTTTCTAACGCTCTAGGGTTATCCGCCGCGAAGACCTCCCACACATACACAGTGTCTACCAAGTTTCTTTGTTTTCCAGCTGGACTCAGAGAATTGAGAATGCAAGCTACAATCTGACGGCCCAATACACTGTCTCTAGTCTTTCCTCTCTCCACACTCCTTTCTTGCATCGTCAGAAATGGTCTCCTTCGCTTGAAAATGAGTTTAAACCAAAAGTTTCCTTAGTCGGTCCCTGCTGCTGAGAGGGCAGCTCTGCAGCTGAAGGGGTGCATCCAAGAGCAATACCCTCCTTTTCCCCAGTCGGGCTCTGGGTCTATGGAAAAGGGGGCGGAGAGGAGGAAGAGGAGAGAGGGGCGGAGGTCACCCGCGCCTCCATCCCTCCCAGACTGCGAGCGCGGCTAGGTGCGGAGGGATAACAGGGCCGAGCGCGCCGAGCTCGTTCCTAGCTAGGGGAGCGCGCGCGGAGGGAACGGGCGACGGGACGCGGGCCAGTGCCCGCGAGGTAGCGTAGGGCTCAGCTCAGTGGAACCTGCAGCGGCGACGGCGCGGTGTCAGTAGCGCCATGCCCCGAGCAGCGCGCACTTCGCGGAGAGCCTCGCGGACGACCAGGGATGCCAAGGTAACCACCTTTCCAGCAGCTGGATGCCCCCGCATCGGCCTCCGGATGCTCAACTCTACTCAGGTTAAATCAACCTTTTTCCCCCAGCCGCCGGGCGGCAGCTGCAGCCGGCTGCACCGGAGGACACCTTGGCTGTGCTGCATGCGCTTTGCAACAAGTTGGGACACGATCCCCCGAAACGGGGAAGATTCGTCGAGAAAGAGATGTGTTCTCAGACTGACCCGTCAGGATTTTGCACTGCGCAGATGGGGACCGGGTGTAAAGGGTCTCAGAGGTGGGACAAGGGCCAGAAAGGGATCTGGCCATGTGTTTCACTGCGGGTGACAGAGTTCCTTACTCGGACCGGCGTAGGCCGTTGGCGCCCTCCAGGGTGGGAGGAAAAATCACCCTCTGGCGTTTGAGCAATTGTAAAAGTTTCAGCAAGTTAGATTTGAGGAGGATGTTACACGCAGAGGCTTGAGGGCGGAAGGGTATAATGGGGTGAAAGTCAACGGTGAGTAAGACCTTGAGCAGGCAGCCGTTCTTGGGGCCGACCAGGCAGCCACTAGGCGGCTAGTCCCCGGAGGGACTGACTCCCAAAAT